CATTAATAATTAAGTTATAACTAAAGTTAATGTATAAGCTTAAAGTTGTTAACTGTTGTACGCAAACTAAATATGAAAAATATCCAGAGATATTAAATAAAAAAATAATTAAAGAAAGAATAATGTCCCTCTGCCTCGGATAGATGGAATATTAGAAAGCTCTACATAAGTAGAATATTAGTTCTAGTAACATCACATTTTGTACACTGTTTTAATATGTTAGTAGATGGGATTTCAAAATCAAACACAGAAAAAATCAAACAAAAGAGATATATTTCAAATGTAAATTATCAGCTTCTAACAACTTCAATGCCACATATATATTATTAATACCTTTAATAATATATCTTATAATAGCTATATAATCTAAACTATTATAAATAATGAAAAAAAAAATTATACTGTATGACATTTTAAAGTTATATTTCTTTAATAAAGAAGACATTTAAAATGTCTCCTTTATTAAATAAATTGAACATTTGAAATGTTTTATTTATTTATAAATAATAATAATAAATTTTATAAAATAATAATAAAATTTAATAAATTATATTTAAATTAAATTTAATTTATTAAATTTTATTATTATTTATATATATATTATTTATTTATTAAATTTTAATAAAGATTATTAAATAAAACAAACATTTGAAATGCCAATACAGCAATAAAAATAAAAAAATAACTTTAAGATCTTACAAAAAATTAATTTGATTATTGCCTTTATTACTACATTAATAATTTAGATTGTAGTAAAAAATGTTTTAAGCATATTATTTAAATGTTAACAAATGTTTGATTTAAAAAAACAAAACATTAAGTACGAGAATCTCTTGAAGTTTACTTTTTATAAGAAACCTTTTAAGATTCTTAGAAGATTAATAAATATAGCTTCTTTTTTTTTTTATATATATAATTTAATTAAATGGAAAGATATATAATAGTATAAAAACCTTTTTTTATTCTGTCAAACGAAACCTTTTTTAAAAAATGTTTCGAAACAATTTAAAAGTATATACTAATCCGAAACTACATTGGCCGAATATTGGCTACGGTAAAAAGTAAAAACAGATTTTTATAGCAAAATATTAAGCCTAAACTACATTGGCCAAATATTGGCCCAACGTAGTACAATAATTGCAAAAAACCGATTTGTAGAATTGCAATATTACGCCGAAAAAAAAACATTGGCTATATGTTGGCCCAATATAGTACGATATTTTCAAAAAACAGGTTTGCAGAATTGAAAAAAATACGCCGAAAAAAAACCTTGGCTAAATGTTCCCAGACAGCAAGCTTGCATTGGACCAACGTAGGGCTTATGCATGATAATGCATTGGCCCAACGTTGAAAGTTGATGTTGGCCCAATGCAGGTTTGATCATTGGTTAGGTATTGGCCCAATGTTGTGTGCAACATTGGCCTAATGTTGTATACAACGTTTACCCAACATTGGCCCAACGTTGTATATAACGCTAGGCCAATGTTGTATACAACATTGGCCCAATGTTGTATACAACATTGGCCTAATGTTGTATACAACATTGGCCCAATGTTGTATACAACATTGACCCAACGTTGTATACAAAATTGACCTAACGTTGTATACAACATTGGCCAAATATCGTATGTTATATATCTGCCTAACGTTTTATGCAACATTAGATCGTTGTTACAAATAAGATTATTTGCATCGCTACATTGAAAATTTATAGAGGAAAAAAAGAATGTATGATGCAAGTATAAAAATTTATTTATTTAACATAATTTATAGGTTAAATATACATACTGCAAACATCAAACTTAAACTAAAAACTGACACATTGAGTTTTAAATAAAAATAAAATTAACTATAAAATTTATAGAGTAGTTTCGAGATTGGCTGAGCTACTTGTTATTGAATCGTGTTTAGCTTATAATATTTGGTGCCCACGATTATTATTTTTCCTTCACTATCTCTATCATGTGTCTGCATAAGCCTTACTTATTTGACTTCACAGTTTCTGCAAAAAAAAATAGTTGTTTGTTTAATTATGCACCAAAGAAACATAACATATTAAAAGTAATTCTGTAATGCAAAATTGAAACTGAAAAAACTTTTTTAAAACACTTACCAATAGCAGCATATGCAATCAACATTTTTTCTATTCCAATTTTTTGTCCTCGCCCTGCATAGTTTAATTTTACCAAATGCCAAATAATTGACCTGCAAAAATACACAACCTGGCAATAATTAATGTAACTTTTGTTTAGACTTAAATTAATATAAAATGTAATTTACAAAAAATATTCAAAGAGTATTTTATTTAAAGTATATAAATTGTACTAAGATATCATACAAAATGCATAAAAAAATCATACAAAAATATTTACCATTTACTTACGCATTTTCTTTTCTTCCAGAGTACTTGAATTCTTCACTTTTAATAGCAATGACAATCTCTCAGGCAATACAATATTTAGCATACCTTTGTTACTCAAATTTTTATAACTGATTTTGATGTGTTTTGTAGTTTATCAAGTTGTACTTCAATGACAACTAATAATGAACACTAAGAAAAACATAAGTTTCAGAAAAAATAAATAAGTAGCACCAAAAAAAAAAATAATAGCTTAATTGAGCGTTGTATTTTGAAAATGTGACAAGTCACAAAATTAAAATTTTACAAGGGAGTGAAAAATATTTCTCCTTTAAAAAATTTTATTTTTATTATATCTAAAGATTGTTTCTTTTCTCTAAAAAAATCTTTACTTTATCTAAAATAATCTTTATTTTATCTAAAAAATCTTTATTTTATCTTAATATTCTTTTATTTTAAGTGAGGTTATTTAAAAATAATATTTTTTTTTAAATATCCTTTTCAAATATCCTCACTTTTAAAAAAAGTGTGTCTCATCACGTTTTCATTTTTTTTTCACGTTTCACGTTCATTTGTGAAACGAGTAACTTCTTAACTAGAATTACTGATTTTTCCATGACTATCTAAATAAAAAAATAATTTCCTGACTTTTCCAGGTTTGCCACGACTTTAGCCAATATTAACAAATTTTCCAGATTTTCAAGGTACAGTACGAACCTTGTTTAATGTTTGTAAATAATTTTTTTTACATATTTTAGTTCTGAATTTTAATAATACAATTTTTATAAATAATATCATCTATAAAAATATTGTATTACCTTCGTCTATTAGATAAATTTAAATAAACGTTTATATAATGAAAAATAATGAATCACCAGCAACTGTTAAAACGTTTAACTGATATGAATACTTATATGAATACAAATACTGTTGTTTTTTTTCAACATTTGATTTCAAATGGTTTTTAAAGTTGGTGACACCAACTTTAAAATCCAACAAAAAATTTTTGTTACGTTCATAAACTTAAATGTTCTCAAAACAACTAAAAAACCTGGCCAGTTTTTCGCAATTAAATTTAATTTCTGTGTTCAGTATTCGAGAGCAGTCGCTCCCGCTTCCTGACCAAGCCTGTGGTGTAAGCTTTGGTATGTTGATTATTACACAATAAAATGTTAATTAACACTCTGACTTTTTGACCGCAATATATGAAAAAGTCTTTAAAATTGTTAAAGTTAAAGCTATGAATAAAGATTTTCAATCATCAGACATAAAGACTTTTATATTAAAACTTACTATTTTATAAATTTTGTTCATTCAACTTCTCATAGCAAACATTGAACTTCTGTAAAGAGTTTCAAGTTACAGGTAAATCCCAAAATTTAATAATATTTTCTGTTTTATTATAAGAAATTGAGGATAAATCATCTACACCAAGATATACACAATTTTTTGTCTCTTTCTCATATTTGCTGTCTTCCTTTTTTGTCTCCAGAGCAGAAGTTTAGCCTTTTGCTAAATTTAATCTTATATTGCTTTAAAAATATATAAATCAAATCAATTTTAATTAAGTTATAACTAAAGTTAATGTATAAGATTAAAGTTGTTAACTGTTGTACGCACACTAAATATGTAAAATATCCAGAGATATTAAATTAAAAAATAATAAAACAAAGAATAATGTCCCTCTGTCTCAGAAAGATGGAATATATAAAGGGTTGTTTCAATTTAAATCATGACTTAAATCAGACAAACAAAAATAATGATTTAAATTGAGTTTTTTTATTTTAATTGTTTTTAATGATTATTTATTGATTTAATCTCATAATTCAATTAATTATTATAGACTAGTCATTGGTCTTAAAATAAAATGTCTGGCAAGATTAGAAAGCTCTACATAAGCAGAATATAAATTCTAATAACATTACTTTTGGTACAGTTTTAATATATTAGTAGATATATTAAAACTGTACAAATATAGGTTTCACAATCAAACACAGAAAAATTAAACAAAAGAGACATACTTAAAATGTAAAATATCAGCTTCTAATAATTTCAATGCCACATATGTATTATTGATACCTTTAATAATATATCTTATTATAGCTATATAATCAAAACTTTTATAAATAAACTATAAAAAAAAAAAAAATTTTACTGTGTGACATTCTTTATTATTTTAAACATCTTCTTTATTAAATAAATCAATTTTTGATTTATTTAATAAAGAAGATGTTTAAAATGCCTTCTTTAATAAATAAATCGAACATTTGAAATGTTTCATTTATTTAACAAAGATTATTAAATAAGTCAAACATTTGAAATGCCAATACAGCAATAAAAATAAAAAAATAATTTTAAGATCTTACACAAAAATAATTTGATTATTGCCTTTATTGTTACATTAATAATTTAGATTGTAGTAAAAAATGTTTTAAGCATATTGTTTAAATGTTAACAAATATTTCATTATTTAAAAAAAAAAAAACATTAAGTCACGAGAATCTCTTGAAGTTTATTTCTTATAAAGAACCTTTTGAGATTCTTAGAAGATTAATAAATATACCTTCTTTTTTTTATTTTTATAATTGAAAAAAATGGAAAGATAATATCAAAACTTTTTTTTATTCTGTCAAACGATACCATTTTTAAAAATGTTTTGCAGCAAATTTAAAAGTATATATTAATCCGCAACTACATTGGCAGAATATTGGCTACGGTATAGATGTAAGAACAGCAAAATATTAAGCCCAAACGACATTGGCCAAATGTTAACCCAACGTAGTACGATAATTGCAAAAAACCGATTTGTAAAACTGCAATATTACGCCAAACAAAAAGCATTGGTTAAATGTTGGCCCAATATAGTACGATATTTGCAAAAAACCGATTTCCAGAATTGAAAATAAAACGCCGTAAAAAAACATTGGTTAAATGTTGGCCCAACGGAATAAACTTGCCAATGTTAAAACTTACGTTGGGCCAATGTAAGCTTGCTGTCTGGGTTGGCCCATCGGAATAAACTATCCAATGTTAAAATTTACATTGGGCCAATGTAAGCTTGCTGTCTGGGTATATATATATATATATATATATATATATATATATATATATATATATATATATATATATATATATATATATATATATATATATATATATATATATATATATACATATCCCAGACAGCAAGCTTACATTGGACCAACGTTGGGCCAATGCATGATGATGCATTGACCCAACGTTGAAAATCGATGTTGGCCCAATGCAGGTTTGATCATTGGTTAGGTATTGGCCCAACGTTGTGTACAACATTGGCCCAATGTTGTATACAACGTTTACCCAACATTGGCCCAACGTTGTATTTAACGTTAGGCCAATGTTGTATACAACATTGGCCCAACGTTGTATACAAAATTAGCCTAACGTTGTATACAACATTGGCCCAATATTGTATATCGTATATCGGCCTAACGTTTTAAGCAACATTAGATCGTTGTTACAAATAAGATGATTTGCATTGCTACTTAAAAAATTTATAGAGAAAAGAAAAATGTAAGATACAAGTATAAAAATCTGTTTATTTAACATAATTTCTCGGTTAAATATACACATTGCAAACACCAAACTTAAACCAAAAACTGACACATTGAGTTTCAAATAAAAAAATTCACTATAAAATTTATAGAGTAGTTTCGATATTGGCTGAGCTACTTGTTCTTGAATCGTGTTTAGCTAATGATATTTGGTACCCACTATTATTATCTTTTCTTCCACTATCTCTATCACATGTCTGCATAAGCCATGCTTATTTGACTTCATAGTTTCTACAAAAAAAATAGTTGTTTGTTTATAATTATGCACCAAAGAAACATAACAAATTAAAATTATTTCTGTAATGCAAAATTGAGACTGAAAAATTAAAATTTTCTAAACCACTTACCAATAGCAACATATGCAATCAAAATTTTTCCTACCCCAAATTTTTGTCCTCTTCCTGTATAGTTTAATTTTACAGCTAGGCCATTTTAAAAAACAATTCTTAGTAAATAACATATACTATCTCCTTTATCTTTAACTCCAAATTGTGCCAAATAATTGACCTTCAAAAATACACAACCTGGCAATAATTAAAGTAACTTTTGTTTAGACTTAAATTAATATAAAATGTCATTTACAAGAAATCTTCAAAGAGTACTTTATATAAAGTATATAAGTTGTACTAAGACATCATTTAAAATGCCTAAACAGATCATAAAAAAATATTACCTTTGTTACTCTAATTTTTATAACTGAATTTGATGTGTTTTGTATTTCACCAAGTTGCAATTCAATGCTTGCCCATTGTGTCAATAATACCAGCATATCTTTCAAGGATACAACTTTATCTTGAACATTAAAGTTAATTATAATATTAAGAAACTATACAACTAATTACATATTATATTTAGAATTTATGAAAGTAAATACAACAATCACTAATAAAACAGATAAAATTAAAGAAAGAGAGTCAAATTTTTAATGATAAAAATATATACTTGATAATGGATTCATAATATTTTTATGAATTATGAAATTTGCAGGTGTGCTTAATTTCTGGCACTGACACAAATCAATTTTCATTAATGTTTAAGCTAACACATTAACGAGAATTGTTTTGTGTTTCTTATAAAATACAGATTGCACTGTACAACAAAAAAATTCATATTAAAACAATGTTTCTCCAACAGGGTTCGTATCCAACAATTTATATAAAAATCAATGACTATTTTGAAAAATCAGATGAATTTCCATGACCATTTTTAACAATCATTTTTACAAAATGTTTAAAATTACTATCTACAGTAATGGAAATTCTAAGATTGTACATGCTCTCAATGACAAAACTTTTAAAACTTAGCTATTAGTTAAGTTGGATATTAGTATGGAGCTTATTATACATGTTAGTATGGATCTTATTATTAAGGATAACTAAGAACATACACTAGAAAAACATAAGTTTCAGAAAAATTAAATGGAAAGCACCGAAAAAAACATAATAGCTTAATTGAGTGCTGTATTTTGAAAATGTGACAAGTCACAAAATTAAAATTTTACAAGAGAATGAAAAACATTTCTCCCGTAAAAAACTTTATTTTTATTTTATCTAAAAATTGTTTCTTTTATCCAAAAAAAATCTTTATTTTATCTTATAATTTTATCTTTTTCTAAAAAAAAAAATATTCTTTTCAAATAAGCTCACTTTCATAAAAAGTGTGGTTATTTGAAATATAAAGTTGTCCAATGTTTGTAAATAATTTTTTTTACATATTTTAATTCTGAATTTTAATAATACAGTTTTTAAAAATAATATCATCTATAAAAAAATTGTATTACCTTCGTTTATTATATAAATTTAAATAAACGTTTATATAATGAATAATAATGAAGCACCAGCAACTTTTAAAACTTTAAACTGATATGAATACTCTGTTGTTTTTTTCAACAGTTGAATTCAAATTGATTTCAAAGTTGGTGACACCAACTTTGAAATCCAACAAAAAATTTTTGTTACGTTAAATCGACTAGAAAACCTGGCCAGTTTTTCCGTGGTCAGTATTAGAGAGGGATCGCTCTCGCTTCCCAACCAAGCTTTGATATGTTGATTATTACACAATAAAATATTAATTAACACTATGACTTTTTGACCAATATATATGAAAAAGTTTTTAAAGCTGTAAAAGCTAAAGCTATGAATAAAGATTTTCAATCATTAGACATAAAGACTTTTATATAAAAACTTACCATTTAATAAATTTTTTCATTCAATTTCTCAGTGCAAACATTGAACTTCTGTAAAGAGTTTGGAGTTACAGGTAATTCCCAAAGTTTAATAACATTTTTTGTTTTATTATAACAAAATGAAGAAAAATCATCTACACCAAGATATACACAATTTTTTGTCTCTTTAATCTTTATTTTGATTGATCATTTTTGCTGTCTTTCTTTTTTGTCTCTAGAGCAGAAATTTAGCCTTCTGCTAAATTCAATCTTGTATTGCTTTAAAAATCTATAAATCAAATCATTAATAATTAAGTTATAACTAAAGTTAATGTATAAGCTTAAAGTTATTAATTGCTGTACGCAAACTAAATATGAAAAATAGCCAAAATTGTTAAATTTTGGCTATTTAAAAATAATTACACCTCAGAAACATGGAATATTAGAAAGCTCTACATACGTAGACTATAAGTTCTAGTAACATCACTTTTTGTACACTGTTTTAATATGTTAGTAGATGGGGTTTCATAATCAAACACAGAAAAAAATCAAACAAAAGAGACATATTTAAAATATAAAATATCAGCTTTTAACAACTTCAATGGCATTGAAGTTGACATTGGCATTGACAATGGCATCGACAATGCCACATATATATTATTGATACCTTTAATAATATATCTTATAATAGCTTTATAATCTTAACTATTACAAATAAATAATGAAAAAAAACTTGTACTGTATGACATTTTAAATGTTTGAATTATTTAATAAAGAAGGCATTTAAAATGTCTTCTTTATTAAATAAATCGAACATTTGAAATGTTTCATTTATTTAATAAAGATTATTATAAATCAAACATTTGAAATGACAATAGAGTAATAAAAATAAAATAATAAATTTAAGATCTTACACAAAAATAATTTAATTATTGCCTTTAGTATTACATTAATAATATAGATTGTAGTAAAAAATGTTTTAAGCATATTATTTAAATGTTAACAAATATTTTATTATTTAAAAAAACAAAACATCAAGTCACGAGAATTTCTTGAAGTTTATTTCTTATAAGGAAGCTTTTAAGATTCTTAGAAGTTTAATAAATATAGCTTCTTCTTTTTATCATTAAAAAAAAAAAAATGAAAACAAAACCTTTTTTTATTCTGTCAAACGATACCATTTTTAAAATTGTTTCTATAGTATATACTAATCCGCATCTACATTGGCCGAATATTAGCTACGGTATAAGATTTTTATAGCAAAATATTAAGCCTAAACTACATTGGCCAAATATTGGCCCAACGTAGTACGATAATTGTAAAAAACCAATTTGCAAAATTGAAAATAATACGCCGAAAAAAAACATTGGCTAAATGTTATATATATATATATATATATATATATATATATATATATATATATATATATATATATATATATATATATATATATATATATATATATATATATATATATATATATATATATATATATATATACTAGCTGGGCGGACCCGTAAAATACGGGTCTTTACCGAACTGACCATTTTTATACTTATCTGATCATTTCTATAGCTATCAGGACGTAAAATAAGGGTCTTAGTAAATCTACTCCACACTGACCTTTTCTATACTTATTCCTTACCTCAATATTTTTTTAAAACCGTTTTAAAAACTATGTACATATAAAAAACTATACTTACTTTTTGATATGACAAATAAATTCCATTATATAACGTTATAATGTTCTTTAAAAAACTTTAAACGCTTTTAATATTATGCCGATTATAATGATTTTAATAAGAAAAAACGTAAAAAAGACTACGAACTTTGAAAAATGCTAAAACATTCAGCACGTGATGCCGTTAAAGTACGCCTTAGTTAACGTTCATAACATATACACATCTAATTAGATTTTTTTTAAATTTAGTTGTTCCAAACTTGGTTTTGAATTTTTAATTACACTTCTTATGCGTCATAAATTATCTCAAATTCTAAATAGAGAATACGTTTATGGGCTAATTGGTAGCCGCGCAACACTTAGACAGATATAGTCATCTCACCCCGGGAGTTCATATTCCAGTGACCTTTTTTTTTCATCCCAACTTACAACAAAAATAATTAAAAATAAATGTTATTATTGAAACAGTTTTAAACATTTCTTCCAATTTTTCTTTGAACTTAATTTTATTCACGGTAAATATACTTTTGGTGTTTGTAAGCGTTTTTTTACGTTTAGTATTGGTAGGAATTATTTGCACGCACGTATTTTAAACAATTATTTTTACTGTTTCATCTAAAAATCATATGTAATTTAGTTTTATAATTTTTTAAATATAATATATATAATTTAAAATATTTTATTAACCCTATTTAAATAAGTATCAAAACTCTTTTCTTTAATTTAAAAGAATGCCTGCGCAAACCTAAACCCTCAGTTGATGTATCTCCGCTTTGCTTTTATTTGTTAACCGTTAGAAAAACATTACAAAAAGAAACATAATAGAGTCCATTAGTTTATAGCATCCGAGTAGACTCTTCCAATATTAAACAGAGTATCTTACAATTTTATTGGTTTTCTAAATTCTGTCATAGTTGCGCACTCGGTTTAGAATATTTAACGGGGGCGTAAATAAGTAACTGTAAAATTCTAAATATTTTTATTATTTTAAATTAAATAGTTTTAACGTTTTATTATTTTGAAAAATAATAAGTTCAATAAAATAATTTATTTTAAAAATAAATTTAAAATTTTTAAAGTTTTTTTAAAAAAGAATGTTTTTTTTAAAAACCCCCTCACTGTTTTAAAAAAATTCAAGGTCGGCGCGTGGCAAGTTCAAATCATCAGCTTGCTTTTTTTAATAAAATTATTGTTATTTAAAATGCAAAACAAAACAACTTTATAGTTCTAAATATTTACATGTTATATACCCAATTTCTTTGCGCTAATACGACTTAAAATAACATGACAAATAATAAATTTAAAATTATAATAAATAAAAGTTTACGTAAGTTGGCACACACTTTCGTTAATGTTTTCTTACAAAAAGGTGCTGCGACTCTTCCTCGCCAGTACCTCGGTTGCAATGGCTGCGTTGGGTTTTGTGTCAAACGTGCTCGAAAGGGCACTACTACTATTATGTTCCTTATTATTATATAGTGATGATGATGATGATGATGATGATGATGATGATGATGATGATGATGATGATGATGATGATGATGATGATGATGATGATGATGATGATGATTATAAAAATATGGTTATAAATTAAAATACTAACAGCTTTTTTAAATAAAATAGATAAGTAAATAACTTATTTACTTATTTATTTTATACAATATTATGAATTGGTAAAAGTGCAATATTATTAATTTTTTGGTGTATAAATCTATAGTATTTTAAGTAGTATTAAAACTTTATAATATTATAGATGCATAACTTTATAGTATCTGAAATGATTGCTACACAAACATTCCTTTTTGACATTTTTAAATGATTTATATAAAGCTGTCAACCTAAACCAAAGAATAGGTGATACAAGAGAAACAACAAATAACTTGCCATTATATATGTTATATAATTAAATAAGTTTTTTACTCTTTTTGAAATAATAACAATAAAAACATTACAAAAATACTTTATAGGTATATTAGTACTATAGCTATAATGATAATAATAAATTAGTGTTGAATATAAATTATTTATTAGATTTGCAGTCGGTATGAACTGCTTTTCTAAACTAAGTATACATTTTAAATTATTCACATTTATTTTTGTACTGTAAAAATTTTTTAGCAACAATTATGCCTAGAGAATTAGATCAAGTCTGGAATAGTCACTTTAAAAAAAAAATATGTCAATATGGGAAAACAGCATTTATTTGCACATATTGCAATGCAAAATTTTGCACACAAAACTCTACACGAGCTAAAAAACATTTAGTTGCAGATTGTACTAAATCTCCAAAAGCTGTAAAAAAAAAGTTTGCAACAGATGTTATGAAACAAAGTTTTGCTCCTAAAACAAAAAACGGAATATTGTTAGTTAAATCTTTAATTGAACTCAACACAAATACAGCAAATAATGCAGGTGTGTCAGATTTAATAATAGAAAATGATTGTTTTATTGATTGCTGTGACAACAATTATGCCATCTTTAAGAGAAAGTCAGGAACCAGTTCCACAATGAATGTGGCTAATAACGAATTACATTCTGATTTACAAGAATGTTCTTTATCAAATATTTTAGAAGAAAAAAAGGCTTTCTGTTCAATTTCTATATATACTAGCAATCTAAAATCAATATCATATTTTTTTGATAAAGTTTTAACACAAGAGTGTGATGAAATAAATATACAATATGCAAGAGCAAGTTATGCAACAGCCAGCCCTTTCAGAATGTCGGAAAATTCATTCTGGACTAATTTTTTTAAAAAGATTCGACCAGGTTGGTCACCTCCCAATCGTTATGCCCTGAGTCATAATCTTTTAGACACAGTATATAACCAAGTAAATAAATTCATACAAGATTTAATATCCCAGTCAGAAACTTTTGTTCTGATGACAGATAGTTGGTCTTGTATAAGTAATGATTCACATATACAGATTATGTTAGCTCCAATATACATCAGAAGTATTTATCCAAAAGAAAACTCCCACACTGGACAATACATATTCAATCAAATTGTTGAGATTATTAAAGATAAAAATGTTATATCAAACAAAAGAAAAATAAAAGCTTTTTGCACTGACAATGCAGCTAACATGGTAGCAGTTTGGAAATTAATAGAAAATAAATATGATTGGATGTCACCATATGGCTGTTTTTCTCATGGCCTAAATTTATTAGCTTGTGATCTTGCAAATATGAACAAAATAATTTCGGAAACACTGAAGCAAAATAAACAACTAGTTAAGTTTTTTAAAAGTAAGCACAGTCTAAAAAGTATTATTGAGCGTTGTAGCCTACACTCCTTGAATAAACGTTTTATTTTAATTCTTCCTGTAGTAACAAGATGATCATCACAATTTTATATGTTACAACGCAATATTCTACTCCGTGATTCATTGCGACTGGCAGTAACTGATGAAAAAGCACAAAAGTATCTTGACAAACATAATAATAAAAAAGGAATTGACTTAAAGGAATTATTATTGAATGAAACCTTTTGGAAAAAGACGGATTTAATTTTCGAACTTTTGAAACCTATATCAGAAGCTATTTTGGAATCAGGGAGTGATGCAGCGTCAGTATCTGTTGTTCCACAAGTCTTTTTTTATGTAATAACTGAGATATCTGATGTGTTGCAAAACTCAACACTTTTGACTTTACCTCAAAAAGAGGATATCATTACTTGCATTAAAAAGCGTGAAGACTTTGTTGTAAGAC